GGGTTGCATTTTCCATTCCAAGGGGGGGGTGCCTGCCTTCCTTAGCACACACCTGTCTTTCAAACTGAGACAACAGTGTTAGCTGTTATGAAGGAGTTCAGTTTTGCTTACGAGTGTTCTAGGGCTCTGACATGGCAAAATTCACAGGAACCTGTTTGGCTCATAATGTCCATTGGTCTCTAGGTGTCGTAAGATGTTTCATGAGTGTAAAAGCACAGATGTCTTTAGTCATCTTATTAGTTCTTTAGAAGCAAGGCCCTTAATTTAACTTTCAATAAGATCAGTTTTCCTTCATTTTAAAATGGAAGAGAGTAATAGCTAAGCTGTGGTAAGAGCCAAACAAATTACTTTTTCTTTCTTCCTAAGACATGTTTTTTTCTTTTGAAATTCTGAAGTGTGAATGCACAAGACTAGATCTGTGGTGTGAAGAATCAAGTATCTGACATACTTCATTCACCTCAATACACCTGTCTGGAGTTGCGCTCCAGTAGTAGTAGAGCTGGAGATAAACTGGCAAGCACTGAACCTTGCATTTCCTGTTTTTCACGTCTTTCAGAGGAATGAAGGTCATTGAAAATAGAGCCCAGAAGGATGAAGAGAAGATGGAAATCCAAGAGATCCAGCTTAAAGAAGCTAAGCACATTGCTGAAGAGGCTGACCGCAAGTATGAAGAGGTCAGTTCTTGAGTGCAGGTCATGTTTCTAAAATCCTTCAGGCTGTGCTTGTAATTCTTCTTTCATCCCTGTGTGCTCCCACACCTACCTTCTAAGTTCAGAAGATCACAAACACCACTCTTTGCAGCTGTGGAAGGAAAAATTGGCAGTCAGATACCTCAGGTGGTAGGAGATGTGTGCTTAGATCTTTGCAAAGAAATGGTTGAGAGTATTTTCTGGTGCCTTAGGGAGAAAAACAGGTTTTTTTAAAGTTGCCTTTTAGTGAATGAAAGCGAGATCTTAAAAAATGTCAGGAAACAAAGACTCAAATGAGTAATGAAGACGGCACATGATCAAAACTCACATGTTGACCAAAAATGGAAAGAGGCCTGACTCTCTTGCTTTGTAGGCTGTAGAAACAAGTGACGTGCTGCAGCAACATAACACCTCTGATTGTGGTTTGCCTTTTCTTGTAGGTGGCTCGTAAGCTTGTGATCATTGAGAGTGACCTGGAGCGGGCTGAGGAACGTGCTGAGCTATCAGAAAGGTAAGTTTTCGGCTGCCCCAAGACGTGTGCGAGGTGCTGCAAGACAGCTGTAACAGCATGAGACATTGGCAGTACACTACATGTTCAGCTCAAAGCTATGTTTTGCTCATTTACTCTAACAGTTGAAATAAATGATCAACACCAAAGTAAATGTGTTCATATATGTGTGTGCGTGTGTTTTGTCACTGCATGCTGTACCTGCACACTGATTTTGTGAATGGCTTTTGTGCATTTCATGTGTTCACTAACAGCCAAGTCCGACAGCTGGAAGAACAGTTAAGAATAATGGATCAAACCTTGAAAGCATTAATGGCTGCAGAGGATAAGGTACTGATACTAATAAACAGTTTTTAGGTTTAACTGCTGCAACCTGTCTTTCAGCTTCCGTAGCTGATTAGCTCACTCAGTAGTAACAAATAGTTCTCACTCTGCTCTTTACTTTCTTTGCACCTTGCTTTGGTGATTTTCTTTGGTCTCTTTTGTTTATTTAGTCATTTTTACCTTTAAAACTGATCTCTTGTGCAGCCAAAAGAAGCTGAACTGTCTCATGTGTAAAGGCTATGTAAATATTTCTGTGTAAGCTAAGGGCTGTGGATAATTTCTGTGTGGTCGTCATGTTAACGTACACTTGAAATGAAATTTGGCATAATAAAGAATTGCTTTCAGTCTGTGATGGGTTCAGCTGCTTTTGAGGCTGTTCTTTTGCTCTGTAATAGTTTTCATTTTTCTCTATCTTTTCCCCCTGTTCTCTCCTGTTTCTTTTGCTTGACTGAATCTTCCATCCGCCCCTTTCCTGCCTTCCTTCCGAAATAACAGCAAATGTGCTGAGCTTGAAGAGGAGTTGAAAACTGTGACCAACAACCTGAAGTCGCTGGAGGCTCAGGCTGAGAAGGTAGGCTAGAGACTTATGTGAGAATGTGTCCCTTATGTTGTCATCTGGATTGGCCTGAGAGGTTTTCTGTGTGCTGATCACTTTGCAGCGTTTCAGCTATGCTATTGTCACTAAAAGCATTGTACTGACTACTCAGTTCATACTTGGCTCTTATTGCAACCTAGCATTCCTTCTACTTCCAAATAGGTCAGTATTATTTGGCCACATGTTCTGCTAAGTAGTCTGACAGGATTATATGTCATTTATAGAATGTCCCTCAAAATGGCACTTGTGTACTAATAATAAATTTTTGCAAATGCCACTCCTCTTTAAAACTGTAGTACTAATTTCTACTCAAAGTCCCCACTGTATAGTACTGGAATATAACACAGGAGAAGTTTGGCTTTTGTAATAAACTGTACTACCATAGTCTAATAAGTGGAATTAAGTCAATTCTATCCCTATGAATTTCTTGTATGTTGTTTATCTAAGCAAGTCTTGAATATTTTTTTTTTTAATATTTAGAATACATGGTCTAGTATCATTGGTCCTCTTTATAATTACAGTACTCCCAGAAAGAAGACAAATATGAAGAGGAGATCAAAGTCCTGACTGACAAACTGAAGGAGGTAAAGTTAGAGCTGTTCTTTATAAGAGCTCTTCCAATGCAGCCTTAATTCTTTTAACATAAACACTACTTCGATGCTCTAAGGTTGAACACATCATTTTGGAGACAGTTTAATGTTAAATGTCCCTCCTAACATTAGTATCACTTAATTATTTGGTTCCTGTCATTGTCCTTTTTTCATTCATTTGAATTGTCACTCCTCTAAGTACTATGTGTACGTTTCCTTGTCTGTATTTGTTTCCACTTCAGGCTGAGACCCGTGCTGAATTTGCTGAAAGATCGGTAACCAAGCTGGAGAAGAGCATTGATGATCTAGAAGGTATGGGGTTTTGTTTTTCTCACTTACTGTAGGAATACAGATCTTTTATTCTCCTGTTGCTGGGTTTAGGTTTTTTTTCGGTACTCAACTCTACTCACCTAACTTGTCCTGCCAGTACAAATTGGTCTGACTAGAGAGCGAAATAGGCAAAATGTTCTCTGGTAGAAACGTGTTGGTAACTTAAATGCTTCAAGTGAACAGTGTTCTGCTCTTGCCTGTTCCTTTTTCTCTCATGTTTTCAAGACTCCTTTCATTTTTTTGCTTTATACTCTTCTACTTGGAGGTATATAAATGTATAGGGAAAATGATGAGGTGATAAGTATTATTATCTTACTAAAAAGCTGATGAAGAGCAGTATCATGTTTGTAATAATTAGGAGTGTAGCAAGCTAAACTAATTTATTACTGTGGTAAGTGTGAGCCAGCAGGTGTTTTGTGACATAGGCCAGTTGCTGTTTTTCAGTAAAGCTAATGGATTGTATACACAATCAGGACAGCTTATTTAACTTCAGAGAGTTTGTTTTAAGGTTTTGATAAAACTTTCAGATGTACAGTACAATAGTAGAGTCTGCTTTCTTCCTACGGAGATAATAATTCACTAGTGCTTTATAGTTAAGCTTTATGGAGTTTATTATTTGGATGCATTACAGTCAGTGTAGGATTTTAAGAAGCTTGATTACTTGGCACAGCAGGCTGACTCGTGCACAAAGGGTATGAAATTCTAGGTAGCTCCTGAAAATTTATGATCATTGACTCAGGAAGCAGAGAAGAAAGATAAGTGTTTAAAAGGAACAAAAATAGTTGTAGGAAACTGAGTTTATAACATCACAGAAACCAGAGTGATTTAAAGAAAAATAAAAGTAGCAGAAATAAATGGTGGTATTCTCCTTGGGCCCCATTTTTTGATCTCTTCTCCCTAGCTCCTGTGTGCTCTCCTACTGTATGTTAAAACAAAAATCCAGGGCAGCAAAGCATGGGTTTTGCTTCCCTTGTACACTCTCTTTTCTTGTTTTCTTTGTATCACAGGTTGCACCACTGGTGGTGCAGTTAACAAACTTGTTACATAAAACTATTAGCTATTGATTTTATTTTTTTAATTCTCTAATTTTGTAATTTTTGTCTGTCGCAACACCTCTTTCTGCCTGCTCTTATTTCCTATGGCTTCTGGATGGTATCCCATGCCACCACCTTCACCTTCCATCCTGTGGTCACGCTCCATTTCCTCGCACACCTCTGCCTTCCCATGGGGGAATGTTAGATGAGCTGTATGCTCAGAAACTGAAGTACAAAGCCATCAGTGAGGAGCTGGACCACGCTCTCAATGATATGACTTCCATGTAAATGCCTTCCCAGCTTGTGCCTGCACCTGCTTCCCTGCCCTCATTGATTGCGTGTTTCCAGCCTTGTGAAATTACACTCCCTCTGTAGCGAGGGATGCGTTCCTTTAGCGAGACTAGGTGTACAAAATACCATGAACAGTTCTTTACCGTGCCAGAGTGTGGGTGAGTGTTGTGCCGAGCCTGGTAAATACTCATGGTGATTTTGTAAGCTGTCTAATAGGCTTATGTTTACTCTTTGATTCTGTATCTGCAATCCTTGTGTCTTGTGGTCGCCTTTTGCTTGTAGCTCTGTGTTTATCCTTTCAGTTCACCTCTGTGTGAGCATCATCTACCAGGCCCATCATTTTCGGTTTACCAAAGTTGTCTCCGTACAGTTGCAACTCTTGTGTTGCAGTCAGTGTATTCTTCTGCTGCCACATTTTTTCTCTGGCAAAGTACCTACAGAAGTTTCAAAGAAGTTAGATTTCGCTTTGTTCTCTATTAATGCCAGTGGAAAGCATTTATCTAAATTTCCTTAGCTGGTCGGAAAATTTCAGCAGTTTTGACCACAATTACGAGTGTGGAAATTGATTTGAAATAGTTTGTCATTTAAATGCATAAAAATGACCATTGAACTGTAGGTTGCTTCTGCATATTTTGTGAAGGTAGTAGTAATTTAATTTGCATATAGCAGAAATGTGGTACTACCAGCTTTAGTCCTAAGGAGAAAAAAAAAAACAACTTTATTAGGAAGCAGGAAAGCAGGAGAGTGATCAATTGTGACTAGTCTGTGTGGTGTTTGGTGCAAAGCAACTCTTCTTCCATGCCCTGAAAAGAGGTCAGCTATGCTAAATCCACCATCCCATGCTCAAACCCCGTACCCCATACAGTTGACATGGGAAGGAAGAAGAGTTGTGGCTCTCAAGTGCTTGTGAGGTGTGATGCATAGTTCCAGCATCTCTTTTTGAAAGCTAGCATGCTTTCAGCAAGGCATAAGCTTTGCTCAGAGCTTGAAATGTATTTTGCATGCACCCATATTTTAAGTGTTTTCTTGTTGATTTTTTTTCATGCCTATATCTGTTCATTACTGCCCTTCTCTCTCCCAGCTTTTTAGTAGGGGTCTAATGTTGTCTGCTTTAATTTCCCACGCTCTCCCCCAATGTGTGCTTTTGCTCAGTGGCTTATTGAGCAAATGGATTTCTTTTTTCCTCCTCGGTGTACATACATACAGTATTTCTTCAATTTGGGATATTTCTAAATGGAAAACAGACTTTACTAAAATGTACTGTACTGCTACTTGTGGACATTACTGTAGCATTCTAGTCCCAGCATGGTGTGGTGTTTCTTTAGTAGTTGTCTTGGCATGCTGGGTTCTGCTGAGCTGTTGCTGCTTTTTTGGAAGTCTTTACTGCACCTTTTTTATTTCCTACCTTATCTCACTTTTTCTTTTCATGCAGATAATTTTCTTTGCTTCACTTCTCCAAAGACATCTTCATCGGGTTGGATAAAACATCTTTCCAAGCTTTGGATATTTCATGGGTTCATTGTCCTGTCTTCTAGCTTAGTTGACTATTCTTCTAGCATTTTTCTGAAACATGATCTGTTTGTACTCTGCTGTACAGAAACTCTACATCTCTCAATGTAAAATAAATATCCCAGCTGTATCCCCTTTGCTACTACCTTGCTTTTTATTTATTTAAATAACTTATTTCAGTTACTAATAAAAATTGCTCTTTTTGCCATTAGGGATTTTAATTTTTTTTGTGTTCCCATTTTTTCTGCAAACACTTTTTTGCGTGAAGGTTGACAGTGCAAAGCTAGTGGGATGAGAATACTACTCTTGGTATTTTGAGGTCAAAACTGACCAGTTATGATCTCAGTATTTCTCAAAATCTGATGCAGATAAAATGACAAATAGATGTAATGGAACTTTGTTAGGTCAAAATCTGCAAGGACACTGCTTCCTTGGGGTCACTTGGTTGTGGGAGCCTGGCTGAGAGAGTGGTTAAGTCCTTGACGTTGGATTTTTCATTTGAAAATCTAGAGCTTTTTCCTAGCTTGACCCTGGAGACTTCTTGCCTTTATTATTTAAAGGGATGGTATTAAAAAAAAAAAAATTGGGTTTTTCCACCTAAAAGTAGTAATTTAACTGTCTTGCAAAAATGTTTTCCCCTTTTTCTTACCTCTGTTAATCAGCAAAGATGTTGCTTGCTAACTCCTTTTTTTTTTAGGTATTGTTTTGGGGTTTTCTTTGGTGGTGGGTTTGTGTTGTTTTGTTTTTTTTTTTTTTACATTATACTTCTCTTGAGTGGCATGATAGGATGGGAGGTTCATCAGGGAGATTTTATTAGCTTGCCACTCCTATGCTTAGCTCAGACTTGTGAATTTGAATTGAAGACTCACAAGTAGTGCTTCAGATCTGGAATAGGAAAACTTATTATACTAAGAATGAAATTATTCTGCTGCAAAGCAGAACATAGAGATTTTAGGTTTCAAAGCCTAAACTTTTTCTTTCACCTGATGTGACGGTGCCTAATTAAGGCTAAAGTGTTAAATGCTGTCATCTTGGAGTTTTTTGCTGTTATTTGAAATTAGAGAGTTTATTACATTATTTTAGCTTCATTTTCTTCACAATGAAAGAAGTTGTTTTCCAGTTCATATTGAAGTGAATCAGTTTAAACTGGATTGGTTTCTGAATGTGCCTGTTACTGTATATATTGCTGTATATCCTAAGTCACCACAGCCAGATAAACTCACCATAGCATAGCAGAGGTTTTTAGCTTGTAGTATACTGTAAATGTGGCTTTCTAGTGCAAGATTATTCAGCAGTGCAGTTTAGGCTAATTTCCTCCTCTCCCCAAAACTTGTTTTCCAAATAAGGCTTGCAAATGCATGTATCATTCCCTCCCCCCACCCCCGACATAGTGAGACAACTTTGTCTTGTCGCTGTTTTTTTTTCTTATCCCATGATATGTGTCCTAATATTACTGGCTATGGGGAGAAACCCAAGTGTAGTATACATATCCGCAGTCACAAGTTGTCCAGATAAGGGTCAGTAACTTACTACTTACTAATTGAGATACAGTAAGTGTGTTTATACGCTTTGCATATTGCAACTGAAAAGTAAAATATTTAATGTGAAGGTTAACCACATATAATGGGCTGAGCATGTGTAAAATGACTGAAGCTAATGTGGTTAACTTCACAAATGCAAGAGTTATGGGGAATGCAGCTGTCATGTGTCAGCTGATCCAGAATAACTTATGCTACAGCAAGTCCAACCCCTTAATCTATTGTGCATTTTGGTCTGTTGTGTCAGTAGTGTTGTTTTTCCCCTCAATTTCTTGCAATGAGTTTCATAAAGAGAATTGAAAAAAAAAAAAAAAGTTAAATCCAATGTAGAAACCTGGTCCCCTTTAACAAAGTAATTTTGAAAATCAACATTTAAACCTTCCCTTTTCCTTCAAACACATGTAATATGTTTTCTGCACTGTAGGATGATAAATTGCTGGACCAAGTACTGGAAATCATAGAATCATAGGGGTTGGAAGGGACCTCGAAAGATCATCTAGTCCAACCCCCCAAATGGCCGATGCAATGCAGATAGCCAGATATCCATGTAGAGAATTCCTAGCTGGCCCTGCTGCAGTGATCTTGACTCCATGGAGCTGTTGTAGTTCCCCCCTGCAGCATATTTCAGTATTCTTGTCACCAGTGAACCTGCCCTGTGCGTTATGTTGTACATCCCACAAGGTCTAGTCATGTGTGGCTAGTCGTGTATGCAAGGCTTGTTGACAGGAGCACAAGGCTGGCTCTGATGTCTCATTTGCCTGGGCATTCTGCTGTGCTGAGGCTGAGCTTCACTGGGTCTGCACCAGAGCCTGAACTCCCAGCTTGGATTTGTGGCTTGGCCTAATGTGGCTGCCTACAGAGCTAGCCCTTGACTCTACCACTGCGGTAGATTGCAGCCTAGGCAGACTGCCTGTGGGTAATCAGGGGCTGACTGTACACTTGGTAAATGCGTTCTGTGCTTTACCTTGGGCTTTTAAATCTTGTTATGAATGTTGAGAAATACTATGTCTGCCTCAATCACAGAGAGGAATTTTTTGTGGTGAAGGTAAGCATTAAGTTCTTAGTTCAAATTATGTTGATGTGTTTGAATAGCAACTAAATACACTTTGCCAAACAAAGTGAGATTTTAGTTACTATGAGGTTTTGAAGTTTTTCTCACATGTATTTGACATTATCCTGGTAAGGACACAAGACCTGGTTGTTGCCGGTCTAGGATCAGAGCTCTGAAACATGCTCTGGTTTTACGGAGCTGGCTGTTGGAGTTGGGCTGGAGAGGAGGGTGGAAGGAGTTGCTGCTCACCAGAAAAGTATGTCCTACAGACCAGTTTACTGCACAGCTTTGCCATTGCTGTGCAGAGAGCCTGCAGGGGAAGAGCACTTCTCTGGAAGCTGTTAGGAAGCTTGTGGAAAAGAATCAGAAACAGTCATTTCCTGTAGGGGAGTAATCTGGGATCAAGAAGTCAGAAGTGCAGTTTGAATCTAGGCTAATGAGAAGAATATGGACAGTATGAGAATACAAGACAGTCAAAAACTGTCATGGAATGTTGTTTCACTCTGCACAACAAGTCTCAGCAAATTGACTGTCACAGCATAGCTTTGGCTGTTCTTTTTGACTGTGAATGTGAGCTGTCCTTTTCTTTTGCTGTATCGAGTAACTTGGGGTTTCATGCTTCCATATCATTTTCACCGAATGTTCGAGTTTATTTTGTTACAAAATACAACTGGACAATTTAAAGGTGTCGAAGTGTGTGATACCAGTAACAGAAGTACTTTTCCCTACCAAAAATACCATTTCAGTTGTCAGATTCCCCAGGAAAGGAGTATGTGCTGAGTCAGACCTAGTGGTAGTCGGCTTCCAGCATATCTCCTGCCACTACTTACCCTAGGGATGATACACGTTCTTTCCCTCCACTGACCAATGAGGTACCACCACATCTTAAGTAGTTTACAAAGGAAAAAACGCACTCATAAAGCAAATCTTGCCCACGCTTTACTTAAAGATTAAAGCAGTACTTAAGTTCTTCTAGGAATATAGCTGCATTTCTTCCATTTCTGCTCCCACTTAACCGTCTCAACAGTTGTTCCCCACAGCAGGACTTAGCCAGTTCTTCTTAGGTTATAATAGCTGTTCCTTGGAGTAGCTATTTAATTACAGAGCTCTAGAAGCAAAGGTAAAATGTTTTTCTGTGTGTTACTGAACTGTCTGTGGTGTGATCAGTTTCTTTATTAACTCTTACTTAACTGTTTCCTCTGTCTAATCTGTCTTCATTCTGCCTCTCTTTTTCCCTTCTAACCTGCTTGCTGCTTGTACAGACCAACTCTACCAGCAACTTGAGCAAAACAGTCGCCTAACTAATGAACTAAAGCTGGCATTGAATGAGGATTAAACTTTACTGTGACTATATTGCTAACTTGTTTAAAAACAATTTCCTTCTAAATTTCCTTAAGAACAAATCAGTAAATGTAGAAATGAGCAAGAAACCTAGAAATTGATGGTTTTCAAAGGCTGTTGATTCTGTAGTAAATGAATGGATTAAATTCTCAGTTTCTGCTGAAAAAATAGGAAAATGCTTCTTCTGGATGAGGCTTTTCAGTATCTGTATGCACACACATATACTGCAGAGGAGCATTAAGCTCCCTGGCTGTGCAATAGCTCCTTTCCACTTCAGTAAACAGCTACCGCATTTAGCTAACAGTATCCAAAAACCTAACAGCCTGCCTTGTAGAGGGACTTTCAGTTTACCGTACATCATGAATTGGCCCTGAAATTCTCACTAGAATGTGTGCAAGAGAAAAACATTCACCAGGATTCATATTCCTGTCTTTCAAAACCAGCATAAAGGATACTTAAAGCTGTTTTGTTACCTGGAGACTTGAATGCAGTAATTTTGCATTACTATGAATTAGGCTTGTATTTGACTTAGAAAATCAAACAAACCAAAACACAGACAATTTTAAAAAAAAATAAATAAAAAAAATGGGAGCTCCACCTGAAAATACATGATCAGTTTAAAGGTATGTTTGTGTTAGTATGAAGTTAACTATTACTGGATTCTGCTAGGATGCAGCTCTAGAACGTTGTGCTCTTTTATTGTATCAAGTAAGTATGTTAAATGACTGTCCTATAAAAGTGTGCATGCAACATAAAGCTACTAAATTCAGTTTCTCTTCTGGTAGAAATTAATTTCTTAAAGGTCACTTCACTGAAGAAGAGATTAATTTTTCTGTTCTTTGCAAGTTCTGAATTACATGAAACTGGAAAGTATGGATCTGCAAAAAACTTAATTATTTTGTTTATTGCCATACTTTAAAAAAAAAAAAAAAATTAAAAAGCCATTCATTCTCCCACATTACCCTAAGCAAAGAGCTTCTAGAACATTCAAGAATTCTATCTCTGGCAGTGCATTTCCTTAACAAATGCAGCTGTAAACAGTTCTAAACTTGTGTTACTCGCTGTTTGTTTGGAATTCTCTTGTGTTGTCTGAGGACATCAGTATTTATGAGCATGCACATTTCTTAACTTTCTAAACACACCAATAGAAGTGATAATTGCATGCCTTCATGTTCTGAGAATCAGTGCCTCCAAAGAACTGCTATTCATTTTTTAATTTTCTAATCCCACAACAGAGAAAGTGGCGCATGCCAAAGAAGAAAACCTTAGTATGCATCAGATGCTGGATCAAACTTTACTGGAGTTAAACAACATGTGAAAACCTTCTTAGCAGCAACCACATTATTTTTTTTATTATTTTTACACCTGCTTGCCGTGAAACCCCATAAACGTGTCTTTATTTTAGTTTCACCACAATCACATCTGCTAAATTTTCAGGCAGGGGTCGGGGAAACACCAAAATGGGCAAGCCATGTACAGGTTAAGCTATATTACACTATGGTTTAAATGTGCCATTTCCCAAGAAAAATGTTACCTACACTTTCTAGAGAGTTCAGCAATTCAGTATGCTTTGTCTTTTGAAGAATCCTGGCTGTGGCAGAAAGTGTCCCACCTCAAGTGCCAACTAAAATTGTTAACAAGAAGAATGATCCATGTTCAAAAGAGATCAGGTGGAAATGGTGCTATCTTGAGCAAAAGGTTCTACTGAAGTCTTTTGTTTGTTATTAGACAAGTCAGGAGTTGCCCAACACAGTAATTTATTTTTATCAGAATTTTATTGCTCTGTGAGGATTTGGACTTTCTGTGCTTTCTAATTCAGTAAAACGAAGGTATATGTGTAAGCAACAGAGAAAAGTGAAGGTTTCTGGACGTTAAATTGTGTTCTTGCAACTCAATACAGAAGTGTAGGTCAGCATTTCACCTTGAGTATTCATTCATTCAATTGTATTTTTCATGTTGAAATGAAAAATTCAATAAATTCAGGAGAAAACATAGATTTGGAAGAGATTGTTTTAAAATGTATTTTATTTGTGTGGATTTTGGGGAGGGGGAGGAATTTATAAATCGATATTTGCCTCACTTTTTTTCACACTTTCTTTTAGCAGTTTAAAAAAATATACCTGTATGTAAACATTGTATAATGATACAGAATAAAATGCACATTTTAGGACATTTTTTAAATCTTGCTCTCCTGTGATTTGTTTTTCATCCTGTTGACTTTGTGTATTGCTGTGTGGAAAAGGTGCATGTGCAGTGTCTCATTGGGATGCACTGTAAAGACATTGGCCTTTTGTCTCTTCTGTGCTGTTAGGCTCATATATTAAAGTACAGTGAAATGCAGTGGTTTGGACTGATCTGGATCTGCAGCTGCTAAGAGGGGCTCTTTGAGGGACATATTGCAGGAACCTGTCCCAGTCCATCACTTGATTGTATTCCCAGATGGGTGCAGAATGCAACTGTTCCCTAATGGATGATGGAGTTTTCCAAAATTGCTCATTGTTGACCAAAGCTGTTTTTGGTAAGAACACTGCGGAATTTCCACAGACTTATGTAGGAAATGATCCCTGAAGTCCATGCTCTGGAAACACTAACATCTATATGTATATCTTGCCTGTTAGTATGTGTTAGTTGACTTCAAAACGTTCTAAAATCATGTGTCAAGTTCATGAGAGATCCTTTCACCCGGCTTTTCACTGGTTGGTAATTTCTGCATATGTAGCTATCTTTATTTGCATTACAAAGTCTGAAATGAGCAACTTCAGAACTTCAAAAATAATTCTTTTTCATTCTTTTTCTGTAGTATACGGCTGAAAGATGATGTTGTCCATGCTTCTAGCAGCAAGGAGCTCAGTAGGAGACAAGCATAGATAACCTACCAGATCATCAAAGAATTTCCATTAGCAGACCTTTAGGAAGCAACTGAAAACAAGTGACTTTCTCAGCAGCTGGTGTAGTGGTGAAAGGGTGAAGTAATACCTAATACTTTTAGGTTAAATAGGAGTTGGAGAGGGAAGATGTACCACTGTGTCTCTGGCTTTTTTTGATTATGTTATAAAGGGGAGAGCTTGGCAACATTAGAAGCTTTTGCATGCTTTATTGGCTCCTGCCACGTCATCCTGAATGGAAAGGATGAGATTTTTAAATGTTTCGAGGAAGGAAAATATATGCTAGAAGGCTCCTACAGTGCCTTTAAAATTGTGCTGGAGGCCAACAGTCTAAAGTTCCAAATAAGTTTTGCAGTGATAAGTTATTCTAATCTTTCCTTCCTTAGCACAAGGATGAGATGTCAGGTGATTGGGCTTGAAGGGTTCAGGTCTCCATGTGCTTGTGGCTTTGAGCGTGCTGCTGGAGTCAGCAGGGCTGCTTGCAGTGGGAAGTGTTGTGCTGCATAGTAGTTTGTAGGGTAGAGCCCAGGGCCACCCAGGGAGTCGGAGACTGTGCTGGGAGCTGAAGTGAGGAGTTCCTGGCACTTGGCCATGAGTTTTACACAGCTGAGTGTGCTGCCTGCTCCACTGCATTGCTTTTATGGTCTGTACTTGAGTCCTAAACAATGTGTCTGAGTGAGGTCAGACTTTTGGCTGCTTATAATTGCTTGCCTTCCAGGAGGCCACAAACTGCATTGTGGTTTGGGGAATCTGAATTCAGCCCTTGCCATGAATAAGGATAAGAAGGTGGCTGTGGTTTTAATGCCTCTTAAAGAGATTATGTCACCATTAATAGAAAATGCACGTGCAAGCAAGTAGATAAGAATTAACTGAAAAAAAAAAATCTGTTTGTAGAATAGGCTTCCCTGAACTGCACTGTTGCAGATGAATCCATAAAACTTCATAATAATAAATAAAAGCTTTCCAGTTCCAAGGAGAGCTGCTGGGAGCAGTGAACATGATGGTGAATCACATCAAGTGACTTTTTTTTGCTGACTACAACCAGACACATAAATGGGCACATGGATATATTTGCTGGAGCAGGAAAATCTCTTTCTGCCATGTGTCATAAACCACTACCCATTATGGATTCTTTATATGCAGTGCCTAAATAGCATCAGCTTGTAAAAATCAATAAATTTGGCTCTGATTTAGCCCCATTCCAAGCAAATGGGAATTTCCCATTCTTGCAGCTACTTTGCCAGAAATGTAAACTCCAAAAACTTGCTAAATTACAGAACCCTGCATAATTCAGCATTCCTAAAGATGCGTGTCTTGGTTTGGAAAGCTACTCACTTTTTTTTTCAATGCAAAACCACATTTGGCAGTTTGAAATATTCCATTACTGTGCAGCCATGCTATGTAATTGCCTTGGTTGTTTTGTGAGTTCTCTCTTCTCATCAAAATGATTGGTTATGAGAGCACCAGAACTGGCAAAACTACCTTCTTGCAGATTCCTGTTGCATGGTGTTGATCGTCAACTTGCAATGATTTTTGTTTTTTTCTGGATACCAAGACATCGGTGTTGTCTCTTGCTCCGTCATAGGATTTCTCTGATGTCTAATAATATGCAAGGCATGCTGCAGGTTGTGCCTTTCCTTCCATCAGGATGCTAATAGGAATAGTCTTTCTATCTTAGTGGTTCCTTATGTTCACAGAACTTGCAGAAATGTAATTTTCTTTTTAGAAAGATAAGTATTTTTCTTTTGTCAAAACTGGTCAGTCTGTTCAAGAGTTGTTGGGTGGAATGAGAGATATAGATATGAATGACATAGAAATCCCTGTCCTTTAAGAAAAAAAAGTTATAGCAGTAGCTTGCACCTCAAAAGCACTACCTCTCAGAGCTCTGGCACTTGAGTGTGGAATCTAAATCCGTAAGGTAATGTGCATATTGACCAGTTTCTACTGTTATTGATGCTAGTCAAAGTCTGTGTTAAGTTGGCAAACTTCGCTATACCATTAATAGTGTAGGAGTATGCTAGGCTGTCTGTGACTGCTGGAATGTCTGTTAGTGGCAGTAAAAGAAAGTGGTTGGTCAACTAAAACAGTTTAAAAACAAGGAGGGGGAGAAATACTTTTTACATGGCCTGGCATTTGGGAAAATAAATTATTTTTTCCTCAAGTGTTCATTTGTGGGTTCTGTTTGGTTAGGTTTTTTTTGTTTGTTTGTTTGTTTTCATTTTTAAAATAATACAACAGGAACATCAATGAAAGATTAAGTTGGGAATTGCAGCAAAAAGGTCAAGGCAGTAGAGAAAATAAGAATAATGTTTGTTATCGTCATGGAGATTTTCAAAAATGCACACAGATCCTTTGTTGAGGAGTAAAATCCTTATGTTAAAATCCTTTTAGTAGAGAGAAGCTGTGTAACTTAGTTGTGTGCTCTCTTCTTTACCAGGTGTGGGAAATCTGTTCAAGTTTGCATAATCTTGGCTTCAGCTGCAAAACTATCTAGTTTTCTGTAGGTCGTAGCCTTACCAACTTGTAAGATGTTGCCGAGAATTGCATAAATGCAGGATACCCCTCACAATAACAGCAGCTTAGTGAGCAATCAAGATACCCCAGTTAATTAGTTTATATGAGAGCAGAAACTATAGGAAACAGAAGCAAATAGAAGTCTTACAAACATATAAAAAATATTCTTTCCCATTTGTTATTTCTTGACTCATAATGCATGTAATGAAAGGACATTATGTAGTGATTTGAATATTATGGCCTTTAAGGTCACCTCAGCACTTGTTTCCTCCTTCCTCTTTTCTGGTTTGAAGAGTGGTGCAGTAAAGATTAAACAGCATCTTTTTAATTTAAAAAAAAGTAGAGCAAACACACATGGAAGTCCTGCAGACCTAGCTGCAATTGACAGTACTGTGTCATAAGGTATGGTACTGTGTGCATGGTTGTGGGAACGTTTTTTTCATTTGTGTACAACAAGCATTTATGGATCATGGGTATGAAGGTTTGGGGCATGATCCTGCAAAGTATTTTGAATGCCTTTTATTCTAGGACCATGATCTGATTCTTGGGACTATTGTTTTCATCAATGTTGTTTTCATTTTTCGCCCTGAGGTTAAAACAGAAATGTCAAGGAAGTGTCCATGTGATCTGTCTCGGCCAAAGTTCATGGCAAACAGTGTTTCTTTGGATAAAATCTGCAAAGGCTAGTGAGAAATTGTCCATGCCACTGAGGAAAATGAGTCAGATCTAGCAGTGTCTCTACAGTAGGATTTGTGAAAGAATTATCAGGAAGGTGAAACTGCAAAGCTCTGGTAAGTTGTTTTAACTTGCTTAAGACACGCTGGTATTGATAGATGGAAAAATAATGGAAGATTGGCGAGGAGGACTGTAAACACACTCAAGTGACTTGCAGCTGGAGTGCTGGAAAACACATCACACTAATTGTTGCTCAGCTTTGTGTGCTTGATAAGTAGAATATTTGTGTTTAGATAATACAAGTATGTGAAGCACTGAGAGGTACCTTAGAAAACATGTTTGAAATTCCTGCCCTGTTGTGCGGAAGATGTGCATCATGGAAAAACGCACCGTCAAGAATCCTTGTTATGTGCAGGAGAAAGCAGCATGTTCAAAAGGTTCTTCACTCTCTAGCAAGGACGAAGCTGTGCCCTACTTGTGTCCCTCCTTGAGTGCCTCTGCCTGGGTGCTGCTGTGGAGATCCCCTGATTCACGAGGTAACGAGACTAAATTTAATCTTGCCTTTCAGCCATGGTTTTGTGGTTGTTCCTGTGTCCTGCCTGCGCAAGTTTACATGTGATCTTAACATGATTTGTGTGAGTTCACAGTTTAAAAATAGAGCATTTCTTTGCAGGTCGACCAATAGTTTGCGTGTTTCTCTTAACAGGAATGCTAGCTGGAGAAATAACCTGGGAAAATACTTCAGAATCTTTCCTAGATGATGGTTTTCTGTAGCCAGCAAGGAGGAGTCTGTCAGACTCCTTTCCAGTTAATTTGGATTGCTGTACTACTTCCTTATTTGCTTACTGTACACACATAGATTATAAAATAGGCTAAAGGGATGGTGTAATTTTTGCAGGCTGTCCAGAAAAAAAAAAAAAAAGAAAAATGTATCTATAAGATGAACCAGGTGAGAAAGCAGCTGGGAGAAAAACAGTAAGGTGGAATAGCACATGAGTGCTCAGGATGCAGACAGCATGAAGGTGATCTACAGAAGAATGAATCCTCCACCTCTAAGTGCTACTGTGTAGTTATGTCTTGTCCTGCTCTTATAGCCTCCAC